GGACATACCCAAAGAATACAAAGACTTAGCTGAGGTTTTTAGCAAAAAAGCATCTGATGAGCTTCCACCCCACCGTTCCACTGACTGTGCGATAGAAATCCTACCTGGTGCCAAACTCCCTAAACCCAAGATGTATAGCATGTCCCCGAGAGAGCTGGAAGAACTGAGAGCATTCATTGAGAAAAACCTTGCAAGGGGTTTCATCGAGCCAGCCCGACCTAAAATCGCGGCCCCAGTGTTATTTAGAGAAAAAAAGATGACTCTAAACATCTCTGTGTGGATTTTAAAAACTTAAATACGATCAGTGTGGAGAACATGTACCCCTCCCCCTCATGAAAGACATGCTAGCACACCTTGCTAAAGGGAAAAAAAATTCAAAGCTGGATTTGAGGGAGAATTAAAGTGGGAGACTAATGGAAAACGGCATTTAACACCCCTCTTGGATGCTAACAATTCAAAGTGCTCCCATTTGGGCTACAAGGGACCCCTGCCATGTTTGTGCAATTAATAAATGAAGTGCTACATGAGCATTTGTATAAGGGAGTTTTGGTTTATTTAGATGACATTTTATTATATACCGAGACCAAAGCAGAACATGTAAAACTAGTCCGGGCTGTTCTGAACAAACTGCGCTCTGCCAAATTTTATGCTAAACTCTCTAAAAGTGAATTCCACCAAGAAAAAATCAATTATTTAGGGTACCGCATTTCACACCAGGGCATAGAAATGGGCCACCCAAACTTTTAAACAAGCTTTAGCCACCGATGAATGGTTTTTGAGCCACAAATCCATCTGCCTGATGAAAGATAACTTAGCTTGGTTAGGAGGGAAGTTGTATGTTTATTTATTTATTTATTTATTTTATTAAATATATTTATATGCCGCCCAATCCCGAAGGACTCCAGGCGTCTTACAAAAAAAAAAGAAAAAAAAACACATAACGAGAAAAGAAACAGTTTAAAAACAGCAACACCCNCCCCCCCCTCAACCAGAGGCCTGCTCAATGTACCCTGTCGAAGAGGACCCGAAAAAGCCCCGCTGGTCAATCGGCATCAGGATGAAAGACGGCTGGGATGGGAGGACCAGACGAGTCACCTTCACCCGTGGTAACTGAAAACTGGGGTGGAAATTGGAGGTAGAATCCCGCTCTGACCAGGAGGAACTAAATGAAGCCTTGCTGAGAGACAATCATCTGAAGAGACATGTAACCCAGTTGGTGATGGAGATTTTGGAAAATTTCAACATCCTGGGGGAGCCAGAACGGCAGCCAAGAAGCATTGGAAGGGCAGCAGCCACGGATGATGCCGGGGGGGGCTAACCCCCCTCTGGGCCCTGCTGATCAAGCAGATGGCACAGCACCAACAGCAGGGGACCCAGAAAACCCTCCCCCCAGTTGGTGTGTGGATTGGGGCCCGCTCCCAACCAACCCTGAAACCTGCAATTAGAAAGAAAAACTCCTTCCCTTGGGGTGAAGTTTGATGGGCACCCCAAAAAATTGGGATTCTTTGTGGCACATGTGCTCACCTTCATGCAAGAATATGGGCATGATTTTCAAACCCAAGGATCCCGAGTGCAAGTGGTTACCCTAGCCCCAGAAAGAGCTACTGCCAGATGGATGGTGACTTTACATGATGCCAATGCGCCAGAACTGCGGGACTTCAACTGTTTCATGATGGCCCTGCGACAATGTTTCGAGGACCCCCTCACAGACCGCAAAGCATATAACCGCATTAAAGTTGTGAAGCAGGGACAGCGGCCAGTGGCAGAGTATACTGAAGAATTCTGAGACCTGGAGTGTCATGTGAACTGGCCAAAGGATATCCTGGTAAGCTGATTCAAGGATGGGCTGAGTGATGACCTCTACAATGCCTGTGTGGCCTGAGGTGCACCGAACTACCTACATGAGTGGTATCTTACTGCCAAAGAGGCTGAGATCGACATGGCCAGGAACCAGTACCAAGAAGGGCAAATGTGGAAGAAATCCCCACCCCAATGGAAGCAAGAACCCTTCAATCCGCAAACGGCATCTTCTCTAAAACCCTCAGCCTGTTTTAAGGGTGGAAAGGAGGGGCACCGAGCTGCAGAATGCCATTCTCAAGCACCGGCTAGGCAACCAGAGCATCCATTGCAGGGGAAACCTTCGAAACCTGGCCAGCATGAGAAGGAGACAGCCCTGAGGAGCAGGGAGATCATAGAATCTTCACCCCCTCCCCTCTTAGAGAAGGAAACCCAGGCTTATCAGCAGGAGAAACCATACTCACTTGGAAGCGATCCAGAGGATGAACCACTGGTAAGCAAACCAATTAAACCACTTACCCTCCCCCTAAGACTGTTTATCCCCAACTGGGAGAGGGGGATAAAAATCTCCACTTTATTGGACTCAGGGTGCACCCGCTGTTTGATCAGCTCAACCCTGGTAAGGAAGTTGAGGATTAATGCAAGGAAGCTGAAAAGCCCCATAGCTTTTTGCCAACTAGATGGCTCAATAGCAAGGGGGGAGCCAGCTTCTTTTGCCAC